AGAAGCTCAATGGTCAAATTTAAAGTAGAAGTGTGGTGGTCCAGAACGGTCGAAGGGAAAACCTTATCGGTCAAGGTACATAAGTGAGAAGAGAATATGGGCACCAAGATGACTACATCAAGGACGAGGGACATATAGAACTAGCAAGAAACATCGGTAAGAGGAGTCACGAGTAAAGAAGTAAGATGGATATGAGTTTAGCGAACCTGCTAGGATACCCTAAAGTGAAAGCAATACCACCTATGAGGGTGAAATGTGGCGATCTCTCGGGTGAAAATTTCTTGGACGGGGAAACTGTACGAGGAATTTCAGGCAAGGTCAAAGAACAATATAAGAGATCGTACGAGAACTCCCAAGTTGAACGGTGATAAGGAAGTGTTAAGTTAGGCGCCATGAGTGAAAAAGTACTCAAAATGGAAGGTCATGATTCTGGAAAGAAGCCATAATGTTGATCGCAAGCTAGAGAAAGATGCAAAGGATGCCTCTAATGCATATAGAAATTCGAAGTAGTAGTATGAGATTTCAGAATTAGGCAAGAAGTAACAAGAAGATGGCCACTCAGTTTATGGTTAAAGGATAAGACGTGGCATCAAGGAGGAAAGTAAGGGATGCAAAGTTAGAAGATACAAGGACCTAGGTGACCTATGAGGTCAACCCTAGACAAGAGTTACGTTAAAAGGGTTTTACCATCTGACTAGATGGAAGATAAGCCGCCATCAGTGACCTTGTGGTTGGAGAGGGGCATTAACTTCTCATGTATAGGTGCAGCCTAGGTGGTGTGAGGGGTTAAGAAGCCACAACAACATTGAAGTTGCAGGGAATGGAGAGAAGGATTTTAGGTCATGTCGTATAAGTTAAAGGAAATAAAAATCCGCGAAGTGAAAAGGATTACCACAAGCGATGCTTAGGGTAATCACCGTGGACAAATTTCGAGGGCAAAATTTCTATAAGTGGGGAGGAAATGTGATAGCTCGACTTCGATAGGTTCAACATCAAGTACTGAATCACTTGGACCAAATAAATTGAGCCGAAATTTTATCCCATCACACCTTGGGCCCAAGTTGGAAAATTCTAAAAAGGGCAATGAGTCACTCAAATCTATTCGATGCTACCGAGCTAGATGAGAATACCTTTTGTTGTCAAGAGTACATATAAGAACTAAAGTAATCTATTCAAGACAAGGTAAGGGCACGTCATTGAAGTTGATATAGCAAGAGTGAAATCTTGACCCAAAGAAACAAGAGAATGAGGAGTATGGAAGGATGAGCTCGATCAAATTTCGGGGATGAAATTTTTATAAGGGGGGGGGGGGAAATGTTACACCCCGCTCTTCCCAAAAGTCAAAATGACTATTATACCCCTGGGTCAAGTTCCACCGTATCATCGATGAGGACTAAAAATGTGAACTATCGGTTCAAACGGTGTCGAATTTCGACATAAATTGAGAAAGTTACGGACATTAATTGAGTTTCGGATTAAACTCACCCGCAAGTGTGAATTTCCACGAATACCGTTGGACTAATTAAAACCCTAGAGCCTTACACTACTTGGCTTCAACACTGAAACAAATAAAACCCCTCCCAAAAAGGCAAAACACGGAGGCTCTTGGCCAAAAGAAAGAAAATAAAATCGATAACGGAAAACCGGAATTCTAAAGAAGAACGGATTCACATCTGTGCATAAACTGCCTCTCAAGTCCCACCGCCACTCATCGATTCCTTTCGTGAAACATCTTCTCATCGATCTTCTGCCATCGCATGCAAGCTCTCGTCTCAAGCTACTCCATTGAATCAAGGTTTTGATTCCACCGCGATTCTCATTTGTGTCCCGGTATGAAGCCTGAGTCGAAGAAGAATCGTGGCAAAACTGGAGCATCATCTGTTACTGATATCCAGAACAATGGAGTGGATTCATGCTACAATTTCTCAAACCTCTCAAACGCCCTTACCGTGATCGCGCCGCCTGCTATAGCAAATCCTACTAAATCCTCAACCATCTAGCCAACTAGGAAGGATGGGGGATCTCTCAATGGAGTTGTCCGCCATCGAGCACAAGGAGAAGAAGATAGCTGCATTGAGGGCCAGGTCCCACAGGAAAAGGGAATATCTCATAATGAGGCATGTTTTTCTCGATGACATTCTGTGTCCATCAACCCCCGTTCCCCGGGATATGTCTCCCGCAGATGATGCCGCTATAAGACCGTCACGGCGCCTGAGAAACCACCCACTGGTCGGTTTTCCTTTGGTCGCGAATTGGACAAGGTCCCTCCATGAAGGGTTCTCAAACTAAGTGTAAAGGAGCCTCTTGTTGAGGAAGTGGCAAGGAGATGGGTCACGTACTCATCCTTGGGAACTACTGGCGGCAGGGGAAAAGGATCAAGTGATGAGAAGAGTGGAGTTTGTGGCGGAACTTCTTGAACCAGGAATTGAATAGAGGGCATGATCAATTGATAATCAACGAGGGAATGATTCCCTTCCTTAATTCCAGGCGATGTGCTCTAGGTAAGGGTTTCGATACCTTTGGAATTATTTCATGAATGACGTTGATTGTGTTCTTAGTGAGCTATGCATGGCATTAGGGAATTAAATGGACCAAGTCCATTGTCCCTTAGTGATAGGCATCATTATTGGTAAGGGAAGGATAAGGGTGCTTAGCACATGGGGGCAACTCAACAACTCTAGATTACGTGTGATTGGGGTCGTGTCGGTCGGTCGGCATTGATTAACAAGGTGAGTGTAAATGGCAATGTTGTCATAACCGAGCCGGAGCATGACCCGATAACATGAATGGCTCGCACTTTATTGGTCCAATCGGTATCGAACCATTAAAAAACCGTTAGAAAACCGGTACCTTATAAATAATAATATCATAAATAAAAGAGATATAAATTAATAACTTAACAATTTAATAGGCATGTACCATTTAGTAATTTGATTACCTATACCATTTAGTAATTTGACATTATATAAGGCCATTAAAAACCCTACCTCCATCAACTTTGCACAGGCGCCGCCCTCTCCAACTTCTCCTCTTCCTTTCCTCTCTCCTTCAACCTCTCCTTTTCCTTTTCCCCAACCTCCCGTTCCTCCTTTCCTCTCATGAAATAACCCCAAGTTCAAGTCCAACAACAAAGCAAAAATAAAAAATTGGGTATTGATTGAATTCCCACTGTGTCATTCGTTAGTTTCTTCACCAAAGCTGCCAGCGATGCCTTGTCCGTCGTTGGGTCCTCGGGCTGAGATCGAAGTAGCTCGAAAAAGTGGTCGCACAGGGGAGGGCTCACCGACCGGTCATTCTGCCCGCTACAGTTTTTAGACTGACCCGAGCCGGTTTTGTGTCCAGGTGACGGTTTTACCGGTCGCCCGCTACAGTTTTTAGACTGACCCGAGCCGGTTTTGTGTCCAGGTGACGGTTTTACCGGTCGGACCGACCGGCTCGGGTCGGTCTTAATAACACTGGTAAATGGGGTAAATTCTACGCCTTACGTATTCTTTTAAGTATTATGATTTTAAGTATTTTTAGCGAATTGGTTACCGTTGCTTGATTATGTGTATGATTGATTATGTGTGCTTTGCTTGAGCTATTGTTTTAGATGATTTTGTGCTATTTGAGGTGACTTTGTGCTATTTACCTTAAAGCGTCATGTTAGGAGTTATTGTTAAAGTTAAGAAACGAGTTCTTTTTAAGAAGTAACTCACCTTCAAGAAGGTGAAGTCGTTTTAAGTGTTTTTAGTCACTAGCGCCAATCCGTTGCCATTTAAGATTTTCAGATAGAGCAGCAGTTATGCTCTTGAGAATCGTGGTGAAGAGCCACCACTATAAGTTTAAGATGTTAGGGGGATGAATCGTTACGACTCTCCTAACTAAGTTTAAGTTTAAGGAAAGCCTTGATGGCTTCTCATACGTATGAGTTGGCAACCGGACTAGCTAGTGAGTGATCCCCATGTCAGTCAAGTATTTAAGTCAAGATTTGAGCTATAAGAGAGGAGAGTAACTTCAACTCCCTCAAATTTGAAGAGTTAAGACTTTAAGATTGGAAGTACAAACAACTTCCACTAGTTAGAGTTAAGTGTTTAAGTAAAGTACTCAAGTAGTAGAATTATTAAAACGTAAGGGCGTAGACTGACCCCAACTCACACACGAGGCCTTAGTAAGGGAATGAGCGAGAACCAGTTCGGTAGTAGCTAGTTAGAGGAGCAGTTAGAGAGCAGCGAGTTCGAGAGGAAAGGTTCGAGGGCAGCCAGCTAGAAGAGGGCAGTGCAAGCGTCACGGAGGATGCCTAGTTAAGATTTTTCAGTGGCCACAACGACAGAGACTACCTAGTTATTTACATTTTATGATTATGAGTATAGACTGGAGATCAGATTGAGATTTTAAAGTTTGAGTTAATTTGCCCATGTGTTAGGGCTTTGCTTTGAACTATAAGTGTGTGTTTTCCGTATTTTATTTATGAAATCCTTCCCGCTGCAATTTAAGATTTGAGTATTTTATTTATCAAGGGCATTTTAGTAAAAGTAGTACCCGGCCGGGTTAGGGTGTTACAAAACAGTTTAGTATTCGAAAAAAGTAAACTATTGTTAATCTAGAATTTCTTTTTGGTAAAATACACTTGTATGGCCAAAACTTTGGCGTTTGTGCCAATAATAGTCAATTTTGGAGAAATACCACTTCTAGCCAGATTTGTAGTTGTTGTAGGACAAATCTAGCCATTTTCGTTAGATTCTTTAACGGTGTTAGTAACACCGTCAACTTCTTTGACAATTCGCTGACTAGACTCCCACTCAGCGCACACGTCAGCGCCAAATAAGGTAAAAGTGACATATCATATATTAATTTTATTTAATAATTACAACATTAATTAAAAATATGATACGCCATATTTTACTTATAAATATTTAATTAATTTTTAAAAACAAAAATATTTTATAACAAAAAAATCATTACCTTCTCAATCTTCGTTCCCATCTTTATAAAAAAGCATCGTTCCAATCTAAGAACCCAGCGTCACCGTCGCCGGAAAATTCTCTCGCATCCGGCACCTACTCTACTCCATCTCCACGAACTCTCCTCCCTCCAGAACACACCAAGCCCAGATTCATCCACCAAAAAATCGTGGGGAAGAAGAATCGACTTCGTTACCCTTCTCTCCGTCTTCCCACCTTCATCTCCTCTTCTATTGGGTGGAATCGCTGGGTAGAATCCTAGGTCTTTGCTTCAATTAATACTCTGCTTCATCTATTGATTTACTCAACTTCATCTATTGATTCGCAGAGAAGAAACGGGAGAAAGGGATTTCTGTATTTTGATTTGAAAGAGAGGAATGGGATCTCGGAAATCCAAAGGCAACGTCGATTATTGATTCAGATTCAAGCTCTATCTCTGCCATAGCTAGATTCAATTTCGGCGACATTCCAGCTCTGGACATGGGCTATTCAATTGGGGGGTTCTAAGACGTCGTCGCTTCCATGCACTGCAGCTCACATATGGACGACAGATAAATGAGAGGAGAAGGAAGGGTTTTGTTTTTCTTTTTTTAGGGTTGGTGTCGTTGTGGGGAAGAGAAAGGAGGAGTCTTTTTGTTGTTTGTTGATGGAGAAGAGGAAAGGAGAGGGAAATCAAAATACAGAAGGAAAAGTAGAGGAGTAGGAGTTCAGATCCGGAACCAATCCAGCGACAAAGAGGCACGGTGACCAACGGTATTACGGCTGCGAAATCAAGCAGCCGAATACTACTACATCGCCCCGCCGGAACCGTTGTCGCAGGCCGACCTCAAGCGTCGCCTTAACCGATTCTCAGGAAATCTCATCACAGCCCATTTCGAAGAACAAGATGAGGAGGAAGAAGAAGAAGAAGAAGCAGCATAGTGTGGTAGGGAGGAGGAGGAAAGGCGGCGGTGGTGGTTGGAGAGATCATCGACATCGCAGCCGTTCAGAGAGAAGGGAAAACAACTACAGAGCCACTTCTCCGCCTCGCCTGAGCAAAGTCTCCTTCCCCTGGTTGAGGATATTTGCCCAAAATGGCGGTGATGGTTTTTCCTTTTCTTTTCATTATGTTTTTATTTAAATTAATTAAAATAAAAGGGAAAATTTTGATCTGGTATAATTTTTGAATAAAATATGCCACGTCAATCATTATCGTTAGTCCAGTCAGCCCGTTAGTTGACACCGTCAAAGAATTGGACGGAAGTGGCTAAAAGTGGTATTTCTTCAAATCTGGCTATTATTGTCACAAACGTGAAAGTTTTGGCTATGCAAGTGTATTTTGCCTTTCTTTTTTTGCATTGTGTGTTGGACCTTGCTTGTGTTGTTTGGAGTGTTTGCAGGTGGTGCATGATTCAGAGCAATCCGACACCCTTGAACCACTAGATAACAACATCAATCAGGCTCTCCTGTTACTTGTTCGTGAGAGGAAGCTAACGGAAGCGAGGGGAAGACTTGTAGTTTGCGCTCAACCCAAATTTGAAGGAGTTGAAAAGGAGTTTGAGATTGGAGATATGGCAAACAAATCCGCCCAAGATGGAGATGAAACAAGGACCATGGGGTACTACATGTCCCCATGGGTGGCAGACATCCAACTTATCAACCGACATCCACTCGTGGAGGTCAACAATTTTGAGATCAAGAATAGTCTCAGCACCATGATCCAAAGCAACATCCAGTTTCATGGTCTTGAAAATGAGTCACCAAGTGAACATATCAATCGATTCATTTGTTTTCATTCATTGACGGCTCCCGTACTAAACACGTATAAAACCCGTAGAACACGTTTAATATCTGTATTAAATGAATTAAATTATTAACTTTACTATTTTTATATATTTATTTATTTATAAAAATAATTTATTTTATATATTTATGACTATTAACGTACTATTAAACGTAATATTAGCTCGGAGATGAAGTAAAATACTTGTATGTATTTTATACGTAACTTGCCCGTACCGTATTTTACTAACTATGTCCGAGACCACTGAGTTTTCAAGGACCTAGCGGTGGAAATCAACAAAGACCATCATTTTCTCAAGTGAAGCCTCAATTTCAAGCAACAAACTTTCAATCTCAACAATATCAACCACAAGGTGGGCAAGGGTATCAACAACAACTACAACAACCCAACAAGATCTCCAAGCTAGAACACCTTGTGACTACCTTTGTGAGTTTGGATCTCAAATGCTTGAGAAGGTTGAGAAGTTTATGGAAGTTGCAATAAACAAGTTTTCCTCTGTTGAGCGGCACTTAGAATTCATCAAGCGAGTCTTCAAAAATTAGAGATCCTAATCGACAATCTTGCCGAATTCCTCACCTAGAGACCTTAAGGAGCTCTACCTTCTCAAATCGTGGCAAACTTCAAAGATCCAAGGGCGGGGTTTGCATGCTATTTTGATTAGAAGTGGGAAGGTCACTCAAGAGGTTGAAAAGAAGAAATTTTAAGAAAAATATGAATAAGCCCCTCCAACGATGATCGAACAAGAACCTAAGGAGTCAAAGAAAGATGAGGATTATGGCTGGTAAATGGTTATCTCATTAACGAGGTAACTGATAACTGAACCGGAACTGGTGCTTAACGATTACATTGATAACCGATTAAATAGTAAAGAGCCGGTTCTCGGTAGCCAAATTTAGCTAATAACTAACCGATAGTTAAACGGTTAGTAACTTATGGTTAAACGGTTAACCGATTATGACCATTCTCGTAGTTAGGGCCACAAATAATAGACCTCCATGGGCCGAAAACATAGGCCAAAAATAATGGGGTGTTTGAAGGCTTACAAGACCCCTTGCCTATCCTAATTGTAATAGTGATTTAGACACAAATGCGAATAATTTAAAGGAAGAGTTTTAGAAGGAGCACAATAGAAAGTCAGACTTGCGCACAGTTGCTCGACAACAATCAGTAACATTAACCTTCCATGTAATTTGGTGGGGTTTACGAGTTGAGTAATTGTTGTTCGATCTCTTATCGTTGTATGCTTCTTTAATAAAGTTTGACAATAGAATGGTATTATTGTACTTGTGTTGGATTGAGTTGATTATGTATTGATATATATCTATGGTAAATTATTTTGTATTCAATAATAGCAACTTAAGAAAAGAACACATGTGTATGCATGAAAAATTATAGAAAATTTCACAATTGAAAAAAGAAGGTCTTTTGTTGGTAAGGTTATCAATATGTTATTTTGGTATAACCTTGCCAAATCACTTGGTTAACAGTTATCCGGTTAACTGGAAAAATAACCGAGAACCGACCATACAGTTACGGTTGATTAACTAATTTAAACGATGGGATTAACGGTAAGCACAATGTGATTAACGGTAAGCACAATGTGCTTAACGGTTAACCGAGAACCGACTAAATGGTTCCGGTTATAACCGAACCGATTATCATCCCTAATGAAGATATTAAAATTTCGGTGATACGGACACTAAGTCAAGGATATTAATTTTTTTCTTTTTATAACTACATAACCATGCATAACTCTAAACTTACAAGTAAAAATTTATGAAATGCTTCTAACTTCCCCAATAAATTTTAACAGGTTATATCTATATTATTTTAAGTTTAATTTTAAATAAAAAATTTTGCACGAAAAAATCATATTAATTGTGTTTTTCAAAATGACGTCCACTTTGTTATATTTTGGAACAAAAAAATTTGAAACTTTTATCACTAGTCCATACCATGTGGTACTACTTTGTATGTACATAAGATTATACCACGTGGTATGGAAGTGTGTCATGCTGGTACGAATATACCATAGTGTAGAATGGTTGTATTAGTATACATAAATATTAGAAATATACTAACTTGTCATTTACCACATTCCATCATCATCTACCGCTAGTTACTACCCTATACTAAGGTTGTATACTTGGTCCTGAAAATTCTCTCCCCTTCCCAGAAATGTGTAGATCGAATAAATCATGATGAATTCGTTCCTTCTGAGCAAAAAATTTCAAAATTTGAGTACAAATGAAGGTGGTACCAAAGTGGTAATGAGGTATAGGTGGTAAACTTTTTTTCGAAATATATTGAAATGGATCTCATTTTGTAGATCACAACGAATCCATTCCATCTGTGGGAAACAATTAAAAATCCAAGCTAGAACGACGAAGTTAAAAACCGATCGAGAAAACTAAGAAAATATAAAAAACCATTTTATTACGAACCCTTAGATTCGGTCTCATTTCAAATCAATGGGTCAGATCTAGTTATGCAAGCTAAGTGAGCATAACCAAGCGTTATGCTTCCTCCCCAGTCGGCCCCTAGCCTATCTGTTCATTAAATGAATATTGGAAATTAAAAAATTTCCTTTTTAAATAATTAATGTTTTTATTCCTAAATTTCATGGCTTAAAATAAGCTTTTTTTATAAGTTAATTTAATTAAATTAATGCTCAAACACACTTTATTGTTAGCACTATGGTTGCCAAACCAATGGTATGTCGATCAGTAGAATCAGGTTCAACCGGTACCGGCCACAAAACCGAATGGAATGCTCCGATAGGATCGGCAGGATCGATTTTCGACCTTAAACAAAATGACACCATTTAGGTGAATATAATTAACAAAAAATATATAATTTTTAATCTGTTTCTTGAATTTGAATATGAACGTTTAGATGTTTATGTTATTTGTTGGATTTAAGTGTAAACGTTTGGATGTTGGGGTTAAATGTTGTATTATATTTAAATATTGATGCAGGTTTTAGAGATATTATCTTCAAATACCATATACATATTGCCTGAATTCATTAAGTGCTAATGATTTCTAAATTTCCACCATATTTTGTGAAAACCTGCATGAACATGTATAAGTCGTTGTACTTCCAGTCGGACCACACTACTTGCCAAACCAACACAAAGGTATAAACTAACAACCTTCATTAGCATCCTACTAACACTAATTACAAGAGTATTATAGTAACTATCACTTATAATAACTCATTCCCCTTGACTCGCACGAATTACACCACAAATTAATCCCGACTAGAGCCCAAGTATTAAAACTCTAGTCGGGTGCAGTATAAAGCAAGTATTCAAATTGTCAACCCAGTTCGATCCATGTACCCCTACTTCAATCGATTAAGTTGTTATCTAGCAAAACGGTTTTGGGTTTTAAAACTAAGAAAACTACAAAATAAACTAGCAAGGAAAAGTAAATAAAGGAAAAGTCTAACTAAGGGAGCTTCACCTAGGAATTGCTTCCCCCTAACTAGCTACCATGACTCGATGGATTGAATGAAGTCGTGAGGCGTAGGTGGTTGTGAACCTCAGGGGTGAGCAACTAGTGATCAATCTGTCACGGCATCAATTCACTAGCGATTGATTTGTCACGAGATCGATCCACTCACCAACTCTAGGGGAACCACTAGGAGGAGCAACTAGCGATCTATTTGTCACGGGATGGATTCACTAGAGATCGATTTGTCACTGGATCGATCCTTTCACTCAGGCTCTAGTGGTTGCCTAGGTCTCTCCCTCAAACCTGAGTTTGAGCGGCTTAATCACAGCCAACCTAGATGCAAACCGGTAACTGCGTACCGCAGAGGGACGCATATGTGGTCGGAGACCACAATCTCAATTGCTAAACCGAGGTAAGCATGAAAGGCCATGTCACTCGACCCTCTCGGTTTAGATAATCGGTAGTTGACTTACTCCCTCACTCAACTCAAGGTTGGACGGCTTAATCACGCTTAACCAATTTGCTTAATTCAACATTGAGGTTTACCCTAAATTAACCTAGGTTAAAGTGGCTAATTAGATTGCTAGCACCAACATGCACAAACCTAAGGGTGATAATCACAATTTTGCACAATCCTTAGGTTGCTAAGCACCACAATGCACAAACCTAAGGATGCTAGGCACAAAACATGCACAACTCTTAGATTGCTAAGCACGAGCATGCACAATTGCATGAATAATACATCAATCCTTGAATTAAACACTACCCAATGACAATCATTCAATCTAAACAAGTAATTAAAAAGTATTAGTTAGGGATCTACAACACCCAAGAGAAAAGAGTGAGCTTCTAGAGAGAGAGAGAGAGGGATTACAAATTTTAGTTCAAGATCTTCTTCTTCATCCTCAGGGCTTGAATCTTCCACCCAAGCCTCCAATGATGCTCCAAGACCACTCTAACACTCTCTTTCTCTCTCACTAGAACTCCCCTTTGGTGTTTAGGTTGAAACCCTAAAGAAAGAAAATGTTTCTTCTCCAAAAACAAGCTCTCTTTTCTCTCTCCCCCTGCGGTGGACTAATCCAACCCTGCCTTTATAAGGAAGTTTTTCTTCATATTTGCCCGAGAGTGATGAGTTCACGGATGCGTAGGCCAGTTCACGGCCGTGAACACCTAAACGCGTCCGTGAACTCAGTGTCGTCCAAAATGCGTCGCTTCGATCTGCTGGGTTCGCGGTCAATGGCCCAAGTTCACTGTCTTAGAGACTGTGAACTGCCTTATCGTCAGTAACTTCTGGAACCTCGCTGGACTGCTCGATGTTCCTGTTTGTGGTCCATGTTTACGGTCGCAAGAGACCATGAACTGCATTGTCCGACCATGAACTGCGGTTATTTCCCGGACGCCTTCACTTCACTACTACGAGGCAATTGTCACGGTTCGGACTTTTCTTCGGTTTTTTTGCTTTTTGACCTTGACCCTTCCACACATTCTAGGACCTGAAATGTATCAAAACAAGCACAACCTAGCGTGAAATATGTCGAGGACCGATGAAATGCTAAGCTAAACGAATAAGTAATGGGGAGGGGGGTAAAATGTGTACATTTGAGCCCAAATCACGCC